GCCTATCTGATGTGTGAACCTGTACCAATGTCGCCTGCTGGCCTTGGGCGTTAAGAGAAGCCGCTCTAGTCACGTGGTACAAATCCAGTCACGTGACCACGCAAGTCCGGTTTGGAAATGCCACTTAAATTAAAATTTAGGAACAGAAAAAACAACGACGAAAATAATATGTACGGAGATCATGGTTTAAAAAATAACGCCTTACAGCGTTAAGTGAAGATTAAATTGATTTCTCTCATAGAGTCGTGTATTTATGTTTGTAAGCTGCTTTGTTTGGTTGGGGTTTTTAATTTTTTTTTTTTTTTTATAAATGTGCCTGTTTGTGTTTTAATGCCTAAAGGTGTTTTGTAAAAAGTTATTCAGAAACGTAGAAAACAGTGTGTTGTGTTTTGGAAGTAAAGTATGGTGTATGGTTGGGGAGGTGTGAGATGGTGGGTGGGACTAGCTGTTGTTTGTTTTCGTCTAGGGATTTGTTAAATGACCGAAAGATGACACCTGAGGGTCGTCCATACATGAAGTCACATACATGCAGTAACATGAAGTCACTTACATGAAGCCACATACATGAAGTCACATTCATGAAGTCACATGCATGAAGTCACACACATGAAGTCACACACATGAAGTCACATACATGAAGTCACATGCATGAAGTCACATACATGAAGTCATATACATGAAGTCACATGCATGAAGTCACACACATGAAGTCACATACATGCAGTAACATGAAGTCACTTACCTGAAGCCACATACATGAAGTCATATACATGAAGTCACATACATGAAGTCACATGCATGAAGTCACACACATGAAGTCACATACATGAAGTCACATACATGAAATCACATACATGAAGTCACATGCATGAAATCACACACATGAAGTCACATACATGAAGTCACATACATGAAGTCACATGCATGAAGTCACACACATGAAGTCACATACATGAAGTCACATACATGAAGTCACATGCATGAAGTCACATACATGAAGTCACATGCATAAAGTCACACACATGAAGTCACATACATGCAGTAACATGAAGTCACTTACCTGAAGCCACATACATGAAGTCATATACATGAAGTCACATACATGAAGTCACATGCATGAAGTCACACACATGAAGTCACATACATGAAGTCACATACATGAAGTCACATACATGAAGTCACATGCATGAAGTCACACACATGAAGTCACATACATGAAGTCACATACATGAAGTCACATGCATGAAGTCACACACATGAAGTCACACACATGAAGTCACATACATGAAGTCACATGCATGAAGTCACATACATGAAGTCATATACATGAAGTCACATGCATGAAGTCACACACATGAAGTCACATACATGCAGTAACATGAAGTCACTTACCTGAAGCCACATACATGAAGTCATATACATGAAGTCACATACATGAAGTCACATGCATGAAGTCACATACATGAAGTCACATACATGAAGTCACATACATGAAGTCATATACATGAAGTCACATACATGAAGTCACATGCATGAAGTCACACACATGAAGTCACATGCATGAAGTCACATAAAGTCACATACATGAAGTCACATACATGAAGTCACATACATGAAGTCACATGCATGAAGTCACACACATGAAGTCACATACATGAAGTCACATACATGAAGTCACATACATGAAGTCACATGCATGAAGTCACACACATGAAGTCACATACATGAAGTCACATACATGAAGTCACATGCATGAAGTCACATACATGAAGTCATATACATGCAGTAACATGAAGTCACTTACCTGAAGCCACATACATGAAGTCATATACATGAAGTCACATACATGAAGTCACATGCATGAAGTCACACACATGAAGTCACATACATGAAGTCACATAGATGAAGTCACATGCATGAAGTCACATACATGAAGTCACATTCATGAAGTCATATACATGAAGTCACATACATGAAGTCACATACATGAAGTCATATACATAAAGTCACATACATGAAATCACATACATGAAGTCATATACATGAAGTCACATGCATGAAGTCACATAAAGTCACATACATGAAGTCACATACATGAAGTCACATACATGAAGTCACATGCATGAAGTCACACACATGAAGTCACATACATGAAGTCACATGCATGAAGTCACACACATGAAGTCACATACATGAAGTCACATAGATGAAGTCACATGCATGAAGTCACATACATGAAGTCACATTCATGAAGTCATATACATGAAGTCACATACATGAAGTCACATACATGAAGTCATATACATAAAGTCACATACATGAAATCACATACATGAAGTCATATACATGAAGTCACATGCATGAAGTCACATAAAGTCACATACATGAAGTCACATGCATGAGGTCACATACATGAAGTCACACACATGAAGTCACATACATGAAGTCACATGCATGAGGTCACATACATGAAGTCATATACATGAAGTCACATACATGAAGTCACATTCATGAAGTCACACACATGAAGTCACATACATGAAGTCATATACATGAAGTCACATACATGAAATCACATACATGAAATCACATACATGAAGTCATATACATGAAGTCACACACATGCAATCACATAAAGTCACATTCATGCAGTGACATAAAGTCACATACATGAAGTCACATACATGAAGTCACATACATGAAGTCACATGCATGATGTCACATGCATGATGTCACATACATGAAGTCACATACATGAAGTCACATACATGAAGTCACTTGCATGAAGTCACATACATGAAGTCAATCTATTAAGGACGATTTTTACCTCCACCCTCCCACCGTCACACATCGCCACAAACCCCCCCCCTTAGAATGACGTCACGCATCAGTCTACCCACGTCTTCGAATATCATTTTGTTAAAATAGTGATTTTTAAAATAAATTATTAATTATGATGGGTTAACATTTGATAGAGCGATAATATTTTAACAAGTACCATCAACGAAAATATGCAAAAAAAACTGATAAAATTCAGTGTAAAAAATAATTTTTCAAAGTGTGACTTTACGTTTTCTATCGCAATAGTTCGAATCCTCCTCACTGAGAATGTGACGATATTTACGGAGGACCCACCCCCTCCTCCCTTCTAAAACTAAACAATGTTTAGTAAACATGGTTAATTAATGTATGGGATACTGTTGTTACGAGTCAATCGGTGTAACGGACACTGTCACCGATTTACAAACACGGAACACACTGGCTCTTTTAATTTTAAGATTAAAACATTTAAAAATGATTGAATTTGCTGCTGTTCGACACACTAGGATCGGGTAAAGATGTGCCTTATTTTGCTATAACGCCGGGTACTCGTTAGGGCTGAAAAGGCTCAGGTTGGATCAGTGGCGAAGCCAGGATCGTCTCAAGGGGGGGGGGTTCCAATCTTTACCCGGGGACAAACTTTCGATTTGCACCCCCCCCCCTCAAACTTTCGATTTGCACCCCCCCCCCCTCAAACTTTCGATTTGCACCCCGCCCCCTCAAACTTTCGATTTGCACCCCCCTCATACTTTTTATATATATACCGAGGGGTCTATGGGGGGGGGGTTATGACCCCCCCTAACCCCCACCCCCCCACCCCCTGCCTACGCCACTGGGTTGGATCTCCCAACTAACAAAGCCAAAAACCATGTTATTGAGCTAACACTGGTCGTCTCGAGCACTGAGTTGAGGACTAGATATGTGTACACATTAGACTTGTACACCTAGTACACCCTTATCGTGTACACTGCTCGCCGATTAAAATATAGACATTCACCCCTCCCCCTTCCCCACCCAGTGGCGTAGCTACCGTAAAGCTAGCGTAAGCAAGGCATAGGGGCCCAAGGCAAATAGGGGCCCTTTTTCGAAAGTCTGAGGGGGGGGTGGTGCAAGTTTGTCCCCGGTCGCCGGGAAGGGTCGCTACGCTTCTGGGGGGCCCACTAACACTTTTTGCATAGGGGCCCAAAAATCCTAGCTACGCCACTGTCCCCACCCCTGGCATAGTAGAACTCCGTGTCTTCTTTTTTGTGATAACATTATGACAGTGTGTGCGGTTTAAATATGAATAAATTAGAATATTTAATGTCACGCTCTTAGCCTAATTTACCTGAACTTAATTGGATTGTAATAAATTCAATTGAGCTTATTCAGCAGAGATAAAATTTAGTTGAGTTTAATTCATTGAGATTAATACAGCTTATTATTGAGCTTAATTCAGTTGAACTTAGTTAAATTCAGTTAAATTGAGTTTAATTCACTTGAGCTTAATTCCGTTGTACTTAATTCAGGTGAGCTTAATCAGTGAACTTTATTCAGTTGAACTGCAGTCATTCAGATGAGCTTAATTCGTTTAAAATAAACTACAGCTTAATTCATTACATTAGAACCAGTGTTTCTTCCACACTTTTTTCTCCGGGGGTGGGGGGGGGTAGGGGGAAGCACTTGATATTTTCGGGTGGGGGGAGACAACATTAATGTTATGGGTTAATATGTTTTGTATTCTAGACTATAGACTTTATAATGTCATGGGCTTACGTGTTTCGTAGTCTAGACTACAGATTTGAAAATGTTACGTCCAATAATTATTGTACAAAAAGTTAATGCTACTTTCTAAGCTTTTGTGCATGTAAAAACGTTAATGCTGTGTACTAAAATATGAAGACATGTGAAAGTTACACTCTTAACTGTGTTGTAGATTTGCACGTAGCCTGTAGCTAGACACTCAACAATGCACTATTTGTTTACAAGCACACGTCAAAAGTTCAACAAAAACAGTTTCAGATTTCAAAGACATTTTTACTCTGGCATTTGCCTGTGTTTGGGGTTATAGGCTAGGCTATAATATAGCCACATCTGACTCGAATCAACACGCGAGGCTATTGGTCAGTTTACTTCTATACAACCAACTCACCCATTGGTCAGATGAAGTACTAAAACCTTGAGTCTGTGCACGTTTTAGTGCGTTCCGCCACAAGTTGAGTTTAAAGGGACTTGTTGATTCGTAAAGTCAGTTCGAGTTTTTAATAACCCGTCATAAGTCCTTAAGTTCTAGTGTTGACTTTAGTTTTGACGCCACTACACAATATGGCTGGTTTTCGTGGGTCATGCGGCAGCCATTTTGAAATATCTTATTTTAGAATTCGCTCTGTGTGTTTTGATGTATTTTAGCGGATATGGTATTTTGCAGTCATGGAGTTGTAAATTCCTTTCGGATTTTTATGTAGCAGTTACAAAAAGCTTTAGAGGACACTAAATACACACGATAGAACTGGGCAGCCAGATGTTAAATGGTGTCTAGTAGTGACAACGTTAGAATGTATAAGGTGACACTGTATTAGTCAGTTGGAGACACAATATAAGTCAATTGGTGAAACTGTATTAGTCAGTTGTTGACACAATATCTGTCAATATGATTAGCCCGTGACACTATATACATCATATGATATCCATAAAACTATTCATCACCTTGTGACAACATAAATCTATATATTTATCATAAAACGACATCATAAAACTAGAATAATTAAGAAGTGACACTACAAAACTGAATACATCACAAAACTACACCATAAAACAATATTCATTACATGCTGACGCCACATTTATACGACTTTTGATCACAATTTATTCACATAAAAACACCTTAATGTCTCGGGCTATAAACTAGATGACACCATGATTACAAAACGTGATTAATTACGTACATAACTTTCATTAAAACAACTGCTTTTAAGATAGACAGCCCTTAAGCCGGCCCCGAAGTTACGAACCAACATTTTAAAATATTTTGACATCATCAGCTTTTAAAAAAAAATTAATTTAAACACATCTTTAAAAAACACACACATACACACTACACCAGGTGACACCAGTGTGGTGTGTGACACCTGTCTGGAGTGTGTGACACCCTGTTATGTCACTCCAGTCAGCCGTGTCGGTATAATTAAAGCGCCTTTAAATCAGGTGTGTAGGGGAAAGGCGTTGGGGGCGGGGACTGTTTTACTTACCTCAACCTAGGTGTGTGCGTGTGTGACTAAGTGTGTGTGTGTCTGTAGGTGCGTGTGTGTGTGTGTGTGTGTGTGTGTGTGTGTGTGTGTGTGTGTGTGTGTGTGTGTGTGAACGAGACGGGCTGAATCTACCTTTTTACCATTGGCTAGATGTAGGTAAAAATATAGGTACATAGCTAAAGGCTATGGGACGTATATTTTTTTTTTGTTGGCATAAGACCGCGATGATAAATAGCTTTGAAATACGCCTGAGCTTTGACGTATTATTTTAGAAAGGTGGATTATGTTGTGTTCAATGGGTTCTTTTTCATTTGATTCAGCTGGACTTTCTCGTCAATAGTCCAGTCGTTTTGGTGCTTTAAATCTTTAAAGGGCTGAGACTGTGGAAAGATCTAAGACATTGCGACGGATAGGGTGTTGAGTGGTTTGGAAGTTTCACCATTTTGAGAAAGTTTGTTTTAACGTGGAGAAGTGCAGGATTGTGTAGGAGATTGGTGTTGGGATATCTTTTGAAAAAGTGACCATGTTGTTCATTGAGGAGCTGTTGGGATAAGACTTGGGATAAAGTTGGACAGAAGCAGGTGATCTAGTTAATTAACGAAAGTGACATCGTTAATGTGATAATCTAATCATGGAGGAAGAAACTGTAAGACAAAACCGGTCAGCCTCTGGAGTCATCAAGTGGATCTTTAAAGCCATTTTGGTAAGTTTTGAGGGGGACGGGGCGTGTGTGTTGGGGTGGAGGGTGTGGTTTCACGAGTAAAGACACTGAACAATAGGTTGAAAGAAAAGTTTCTTATAGCACTGTGTTCTGTAGTATATAGCTAAACAGAGTTGACCAACTTCTACTTGTATAGTGTGATAAGGGGAGCCGTGTGGTTAGGCTACGCTACTTCTAGCTCCAACATTTGACTATACATAAGCTTTACTTACCTAATACTTGTCAATATATTTTCTCTGCTAAAGGGAAAGAATCTGGGTCTGGAATTTTTGCTACATTTGTAAAAGAAATTTATTAATTAGAATGTATTAAAAGAAATGTATAGTCATAATAATTTTTGGAAGAATGTTTTTATTTTACAACAATACTTTTCTTAACCAGCTTTCATTCTTACTGTAAACCTTTTATTTCATTTAAAATTAGAAAACCGTAAAACCTTCTCGATTTTACCCTACACCAGTAGCGTACCCTACACAGGCAAAACATTCTTGGCGGCCAATCCTAAATTTCACACTTTACAAAGTACTCGGCTAAGTCAAGCTATAGTAAAAAGCAAACAAAGAAACTTCAAGCTGCATATAAATATTTTTTTTTTAAATGAATGAAAGAAATACACAAAATGAAAAGATTTTATTTGTCGTTTCAAAAGAAATGGCAACTTGTTTAAAACTTCTAATGACTTGCGTCACACAAATTAAACACCTTTGATTCCAAACGCGCGCAAACTAAACACAATCATTACATAGGACAAACAGTTTGCGGTGAGGAGACCTATAACACTCTCGCTTAGGCATTAGAATTGACATAGATTTGTGCTTTGATGAGAAAAAATAATTATGGTTGGCACCAAAAGTAGTGCATCGAGCTAGAGCACTAATTATTTTTTTATCTGCTCACACGAGTGTAGCATTCTATAAATTTCTCTTACATTTAAAGTTGAGCGACATTGTTGCAATACGACTTTTTCCCTTAATAAATCCTGTAAAGTTTGTGTTATTAATTTGATATTAAAAGCTCTCGTAGTTTCAGATCGCCATAAAAATGGTATAAATCGAGTACATACACCCTCCTCCACACGCCCACACTTATTTATACACACACACCAAATGTTTAACCACACTAAATACCGCATACCGCCTTTCAGCAGTTTAAACAGCCTTGATATTGGCAAGCGTGTCGTAATACACCCAGTGATATGTGTATTCTGTGTTCAATACCATCCCAGAATTTTTACCAAAATTACCAAGTGGGACGGACTGATCGAGTAATAGCGCGCACATTAGCTAATCCGAAAGTTTTCAAGTTTGGATCTCGGACTCGAGGTAGTAGGACGTCACTGAGTCCACCAATGTCTGATGGTACTCACTCACATTGATGGGTACCTGACTCACGTTAATGGCTACCTGATTAATGGTGATGGGTACCTCTCACGTTGACTTACTTTAGGTAAAATAGGGCGGCTGGGCGTACTTCTGAACACACCATCCATTCATATGCCGTTTTCAACTCATCTGCATCTGCTCTATTCATCGTCAGATCCTATAGGGAACTTGACCTTATAACCAGAGGGCCAACAAAAATCTTTCCTTATAGAATTTGACATGTGTAGCAGAGGATCTCAAACGAGTACTTTTATATTAAGTAGATGTAAAACTGCAGCATCGGATAGAAAAATAACGTTTTAATGAGTTTGTGTATACAAACACAACAGCGATAAATTATTTATAGTACACAAAAAACATGCAAGAATGTAGCAGCCCTTTAGTGAATTTACGTAAACATTATCACAGTAGTAGTTAATTAGATACGGAATACGGTAATTAATTAGACTTAAATAATTGGTTTCCTGTATTAAGAGATCCGTCTTAAGGGTTGTTGACCGTTCAGGGTAGAGTGAGGAAAATGTCTCGTTAGGTCTAACTGTAATAAGTTCTAAATGTTTAGTTTGGTTTAACTGTAATAAGTTCTAAATGTTTCGTTTGGTCTTACTGCAGTAAGTTCTAAATGTTTAGTTTGGTCTAACTGTAATAAGTTCTAATTGTTTAGTTTGGTCTAACTGTAATTAGTTCTAAATGTTTAGTTTGGTCTTACTGCAGTAAGTTCTAAATGTTTAGTTTGGTCTTACTGCAGTAAGTTCTAAATGTTTCGTTTGGTCTAACTGTAATAAGTTCTAAATGTTTAGTTTGGTCTTACTGCAGTACTTAATGTCCTTTTACTAAAGTTGCATTATAACTTTACTGTACATAGTGGGAGCATTCCAATGTATGTGGCATCTAGCAAAGACTGTTGAAAATTAAATGTTCAAAATATTTTGTTTGTGTTGTTGATTTAACTTTTGAGAAATTAGCAGTTGACATATGGAATGTTGTATGATATCATAAGAGATGGTGACGCATCTTGCAGTCTTGTATCACCATAGATGGTGACACATATTATTATAGTCTAGCAGAGTTGTAACACACGGATGGTAAAAACAGCTATTGTGTATAACCGCAAGTGGTGACACGTCTAGCAGTGCTGTATCACCATAAGTGGTGTCACATATAGTCTAGTCTAGAATAGTTGTATCATAGCATAGTTGTGACATCTCTAGCAGTATTGTAACACCACATATGGTGATACTTCTAGCAGTATTGTATCACCACATATGGTGACACTTCTAGCAGTATTGTATCACCACATATGGTGACACTTCTAGCAGTATTGTATCACCACATATGGTGACACTTCTAGCAGTATTGTATCACCACATATGGTGACATATCTGGTATGAAGCTCTATTCCCCCCCCCCCATTCCCCCCTCCCTCTCCCCAACCTCCCACACACCAGAGCCCCTGTGATATCTAAACCCCACACAAATATTGTCTTAACACAAAACACTCTAGCTGTGCGTGAAGTCGAATTTTTACCTCCTGGCATATAATTAACTTCTGGTCAGGTGTGTAGTCTTTAACTGGTAAATGTGTAGTGTATAGATTGATGTTCGTTGTAATGTAAATTAGTCATGTTTTACATATGGCGGATATCCCCACCCCTCCTCCCCTCATTAGACAACACACTATTCTATTCTATTTAAACCGTGTTTAGCCATGCCCAGGCTTATCATATAAAAGAACGCATGGTGGTTATGTATAACGTCACTGCGCTTAAAAATAGCATCCGATCCAGAGTTTCTTCCAGGCATCTCTTCGCCCCCCCCCCCCCCCGAATAAAGTCTACCGCCTCCCCCCCCCCCCCCCCCCCCGAACGAAATGGAAAATATATAGAAAATATATTCTTTTAACAGTGTCCGCCCCATCCAGAAATTTTAGTCCACCCGCCCCCCTCCCGAAAATTTCAAGTGCCCCCTCCGAGAGAAAAAAAAAAAGTCTGGAAGAAACAGAAACACTGATCCGATCACCCGACAACCATTCATCTACAAAATAGTACAGTTCTATACTTCTTAACAGTAATCGGCATGAGAGTTGGCGGGGAGGGGGGGGGGGGGTGTCCATTAATGACGTCCTACTTTGGGAGGGTGGTTGGGGAAGTGAGAGTGGCTGAGAAATCTGACGTCATGTATTTTGTATTTCACAACAGCAAATAAGATGAAAATCAGGTTACTTTTTACATGGGTGGGGTGGGGGGGGGGGGGGGCTGGCTTTTTATGACGACCCATACAGAAAAGTCTACCGCCCCCCCCCCCCCCCCGAACGAGATGGAATTTATATAGTAAAAATATACTTTTACTAGTGTACGCCCGCCCCCCCCCCCGGAAAATGTTGACCCCCCCCCAAAAAATATCAAGTGCCCCCCCCCCCCCCCCGGAGAAAAAAGTCTGGAAGAAACACTGGACCCATAACGATAGACAAAGGGGGGGGGGGGGGTAGGGCAGACGGCGACGAGGTAAAAAAATATAATTTTTATCTGGGTTAAGTTTTGATTTTGGTGTTAAACTAAGGGTTAAGAATTGAAGATTTGGTTAAATATGTTTGCTTTATGTCCACTTGGAGATATCCCGTAAGATCTTGTGTTTTTTCTCAATACCAGTGTGTTTCCATCGACATTCGCTAGATAATTCACGAATCATTTGACTGATTTATTACAGTTACTTCCCTTTACCAACTAGGTTTAAAGATCAGTACTGTCGTTCATTACGAGAGAGAGAGGTTGGGGAATGAGAGACGGTATTGTGTTTTACATATTGCGAATCATTAATTTAACTGCTCTGCTAATATAAATGTAATTGAGAATGAGAGGTGGTATTGTGTGCGTTTTACATATTGCGAATCATTAATTTAATTGCTCTGCTAATATAAATGCATTTTCCTACTTTTAATTTGATTAAGCGCAATTAAAACTAGGACGTCACCGTAACAATAAAGGCATGAGACGACCGACTTGTCTAGACAGAAATTAATCTTTACTAATTGCAAATCATTAATTTAAGTTGCACGGTTAATAACACATTTATTTTCTTTTGTTATATATATCATTATATATATATAATATATATATAGTAGTTAAAATAAAAAAAGGTAAAGAAGTAAATTTCTCTTTTCGAACAGAACATGAATGTCCCTATGGTAAGTGAAGTAGATTTCACCTGTCTCGGCATAAGAAAGGATTATGTGGTCAGCACTATGCCAAGCCGTCAATACTTTCCCTTAAATGAGTCAGGTACCCATCAGAGCTGGGTGGACTGCAGTATGTTCTACTGACATGAACCCGAGACTTTCTGGTTAGCAGTCTCGCCCTCTACCGTTACACCGCTCCGTACCATAACAAAATGTAAAGCAGCACATTAAAGGCTTAACCTATCGCGAATCATCAATTACAAAACTGGACCTGTCGCCATAACAACGGCGTCATGTCATGACAGACACGCTGAGCTGGTGACCGCCCCTGATGTCACTCGCTTTGTTGTGTCACACGGTGGCCTGGGCTGTACATGGGAACCGTTAGACCAGTGGATACACACGCCTGTACAGGCACCTGCACA